AAAGTACTGGGTTGACCCATAATTTCTGGCCGAATTTCAAACACTTTGAATTTCTTCAAGTTTTATCTTTCCTTAAAAACGATTGATCAAAAAAGTAACCACCATCATAATCACTGATAAGCATCCACTTGCTAGGAACGAATGGATGCATTCCTCCCAGAATGAATGGAGCTGTGGAATGAAAAGTTCGGAGAGGTCGTTTTTGGGGTGGTTGCATTTACTGACTCTTTTCTCTCCAAGCTGCTGCTTCAGGGAGCTGGGGAGGTGATAGTACGATGGAGCAATGTCAGGGCTATACGACAGATGTGGTGTCGTGGTCCAGCCAGTTTCCTTCAAAAACCAGCGAACCGGGTAATATCCTCCGATGAGAGAGCTCATGCTTTGTCGAGATGGTGAGTCCAGGCTGCGAGGTAGCCACAAGGCGTGCTGTGTGTTGTTATCGTGGTGGACTCATGACTCATCTGCACTAGTGACCAACTAGGGAATGTCGTGTCTATATGGTCGAAGAATGAAACTTCTGCAGATGGTCAGGCGTGCCTCTCGGTCATGGTCAGTCGATGCCTGCTGTTTCGAGTCTCCATTCTGCTACAGCCCCTTTCGTTCAGGTGTCGACTCATGGAGCGTAGGCTGCGTCCAGGTGTTTGCTACAGTTTCCTGCTAATAGCGTCAGGATGCACTTCCTATTCGTTGCGCAAGGGGTCCTCATCGAAAGTGACTGGAGGTCCATGATGAGGTCGAACTTTGCAGCTCCTATCGTATTTGCCGATGCTATTGAGCCAATAGCTCAGTGCCCGATCAGTAGCAAAGACTGGGGCAAACGTAGCGCTGATCTTGCCTACCGCGCTCCTTGCAAGGTTCTTCTTAAAATTGTCGTAAGGCATAATGTTGGGTTTGGTCGTTGATCTATTTTGATTCCTACTTAATTATCCCGTTGCGCATTTGAGCTTCTGAAACATCCTGGCTGAAGGTCCTGATGTCTTCAACATATCAACTTATTTCGATATGAAGTTAATTTGACATATTGAAAATTGAATTTGAACCAAAATCGGCCAGAAATTATGGGTCAACCCAACAGTAGTTATTGTTCCACCTATTTTTAGGCGATGCTGGAATTCCTCCATTTTATTCACTCGAAGTATTCACCACTATACAGACTCAAACCTAGGTCTAGAATCACCAGAGTTTGACTGGCAATTAACAAAGCAAGATGGCCGAAGCTAGGCCACCTTGCTTTCTATTTGCTGTTTCGAATTTTGTCAATTATGCCAGATGTTGTTGATGACATTCGACACTTTTTAATTTCTTGAACTTTCATTTATACAGCACTTGCAGTTTTGCTTCACTATGGAGTTTACACGATAGCAGAAAATGTGGTATTGATTGGGTGAGTATAAGTTATAGGTAAACCAACCGAGCATTGTTGAACCTAATCAGCGTATCAATATACATGCGATAAAGGAGGTACGGTTGACCTAGAACTGTTTAGGAACATTTCGTCGAGTATAAATCCTGCACTGGCTGATTGTCAATAATCAACTGCGAAGCTGTTTTGGAAGAGCTACCCTCGACTCTCGTGCAAGCTCAACAGTAAAGAAAATGCACATGTCTTATGCGGCAGAGCACTCGAGAGATTGTGAGCCCTTGAATGACTTCAAAACATCACATATTATCAAAAATTTAGAAAAACCACAAACCTGAATCGCCGGCTATAATTTCGGACAACATAAGACGCCTTTTGGGACAGCTGTTTTTATAGATGAAGGATTCATGGCTTGCAACCTAGTTGATTAAACCTAGCTTGCTTTGAACCTAAGACTTTATCACATTGACGACAACGCGGGGGATATATATCCCGCGCATTGCAGGCCATGTCGGACCGTGCGGGATATATATCCCCCGCACCCATACACTCATTTTTTTCGCGCACGCCTGATTCTTTTAGAAGTTTCTTGTATTCATTCCATGGAAGAGACCTTGACGTAGCTACAAACATAGTGGCCCTTAGAATGGTCACGTATACTTTAATTTAGAGGAAGGATTTCTGAACCATAATCGAATAAATAATATAATAAATAATTAAATAAATAATCATAATAAATCTTCATTTCAATAAATTTTTTGTTTGCTTTTTCTTTTTATTAATGTGAAGATTATGAGTGAGTGATGTAGGAGATTAGTAGTGAGAACTTTAGTGTGATGATCGAATATATGTTGTGTTTATTGAATATCAACGTAAAGATGCTGACGTTCATTGCCACTATTTGATCCAATTTCGCATTTTTCATGCTACTGCTTACGACTGTGTTGACTCTCTCTCATCATCCATCTATTTCTACCTGTATCGAGTTTGCGTCCATTACTAATTGCTTACTGAATTGGTTTCAAATTTATTACTTGTTGTATTTATCACTCAAAATCTGCTTGAACGACCTGAGGCGAGCGCGCCCGCAAAATCGCCGCGGTCCCACGTGGCCAAAAAACCAAAACTCGTGTTGTCGTCAATGTGTTATTCCAATACAATATGAGCTACAAACCTTTTCATAAGAACTCGCAAAAATGTTCGCTGTTGGAAAAGTACATAGCGCGTCAAAATCATAACGACAACACAGCACATTCGATAGGATACAGTACTCCGAGAGTTGTTTTATTCTGATTTCATTGTGGTATTGCTAGGTTAGCCTGTTCATGCTTGTCCTACTTACCAAAAAATATTATATGCGATGTTCTAATGTGTTGTTATTGATGTTCGTTGTCTTATTTTCCTAAACATATGTGATTTCAACGGTTGAGGATTATCGACACGCAAAAATTATCTGCCTTTGTACATTCGAGTGCCGATGTGTAAACGTCACATGCTACAGGAACTGAGTAATCGTTCTGGATAAGGAAGGCGTGTTTCTGTGACGCTCACGACCAATCATAGGACGATGCGCGATAGAATTTGAAGGAACCTTCGGTTCGCCGAATTGTCACGAGAGATGGGCATCAAAGAGGCTATTTGAGACTTCTTGAAGAGTATACTGCTATCGTAGACTCATGTCGATTTTGAAGACTGTTGCTGGACCTTTTAGCAGGAAGAAGCTCCCACCCAAGGAAAAAATAGTGCAGAATGAGTGCTAGTGCAGACTTCGAGGAGTAGCAGGTCACACTTCATATTGGACTTCGATGGAATCACACCGCCGGTTAATCGTGGCTGAGGCATGCATGAAGAGATCGTTCCAGAATGCTTAGAGAGCGCCCCACGCATCACAATGTTGGCCAGAATCGTGGTTCCTCAATGCTCTCAAGGCCTGTGTAAATGCCAACGAAAATTTTTGAGATGGTAGATGTTTACAATTTATGATTGAGCAGAGAACATTACTGCTTTATTTGTTTCTTGATAAATGTGGCATGTTCGTTCCAGGTGATACAGAAACGTCGCTTCATTCTGACGCACCCAGTGCAAAAACACCCCGGACAAGAAGATTTTAACGGTGAAATGCATTCTTGCTGTCAACGCATTTGCTGATCCATGAGCATAGTGTTAACAAAGCGCGCTCAATACCTTCTCAGTGGTCTTTGTGCCTTAATTTAACGCTTGTATAATAATCTTGGTTCAGATTCTAGTTGCATGCGAGAGGATATTGTTCTTCTTGCTTTATTGTTTTGATTGGGTGCCACGCTTTGATAGTCGTTTTGCTACGTGCAGACAAGCATTGTGAATGCCGCTATGGAATATGCCACGATACGTCATATAGCCCTGAATTTACTCCATCACTAGTTCCCTTCACAGGCAGCAACCAAGTGAAAGAGAAAGGAATAAAGTCACTCTAAAGACAACGTTGCCGAATTCTTCAACACCCAGTTTCATTCACTCTAGTAGGGAAGAACCCTAGAATTCTCCTGGTAAGTGAATGCTATCAATGATTATGATAGTGGTTATATTTTCGCTCAACTGTTTTTTAAGAGACAAGATCCTAAAAGAGATAATAGTGTCGAATTTTGGGCGGAAATTATGGGGAACTCTATTGCTTGGTGTAAATAAACATGTATTTCGACCTAATTAACATTCAATCCGAGCACATGTTAGCAGCGTTTGACCCGTCGTGAATATATCACAATTATTTTCTTACCATATTAGTGCAGCACATTGGATTTGAGAAGACATGATACCCGTTATCTTTACAATTTTTAGCCCTATCCGCTATTCAAGAACATACATCAAATTTAATGATTGTGCCATTCAGAAGTCCCCTGAAATGATACCCTTTTGCCCTCTGGACGGCTGCTGTTTGTAGAGTGCACCATTGAACATGAAGTCCCCCACAATAAAGCATGTTCACCCTCAGTTCTTTTCATTTTATTTCATTTTATTTCACTGCTATTGCCAAAACATCGGAGAACACGTTTCGCAAATCAGTATGATTTCTATGTTACTCGTCACACTGTTGGTAGTTTTCGCCTGTGGGGAACCTCTTCATGGGCACTCCATTGCTGAAATCGAAGCAAAGCATCACATTCACCATCAACTGCACAAAAGAGACTTTGTATTGACAACGTAAGTGAGAAATTCAGCTCCAGTGTTGTAATTCAAATGTCGTAATTGAAGTGAGGCGGAACAGACTGCTGAGAGCACGCAAGATCAGGCTGAAGTTAGTGGAAGTCGCAAGAAACGTCAAGCAGCTAGATTATCGCGATCACGGCTTTGGTTAGAGGGATTGAACTACTTCTTCGACGAATCTGTCTGTAAGCATAGGATTTTGTCCTGATTAGTTAGATTACGATATAAATCCCTGATAGCATTTCAGCCAACAGCACTAAGGATGCGATCAGAAGAGGGAGTAGAACTCTGGGAAAGTAACACCTGCATTGATTTCAAAGAGAATTCTTCTGGTGAGATTTTGACAAACGCTGGCCTCTAATAGATAATCGAGGAAATTTCAAACAAGGAAATTGAATGTACGTTAATTTACGGCAAAGCAGAGTACGTGCGGGATATTGAACTTGTTCATATCTGAGTAAACATCAAGCTATGACTGTACAGAGCTGTTAGATGTCAGTTGTTTGTTGATATACTTCTGTGTTGATGTTGTTGCAATATTTACTGTTTGAATTTACTACTATGATAGTTCTTATTCTTCCAGCCACAGACCGAGTGAAGGTGTTTATGGGAAGTGGCTGTTGGTCATACGTCGGCAAATATGGCGGCCAACAGCCGCTGTCGTTGGGAGAAGGTTGCGGAACAACCCATATTGCCGCGCACGAGAATTGGGCACGCTCTTGGATTCATTCATACTCAGTCGCGATACGACCGCGACTACTTCATCAAAGTATACAAGGAGAATATCAAGGTAGGCTCTTGACTGCTAAAACTCTTTTAGAAAGAAGCAAACGCGCCTTTTCTATTACTTTTTACCTTCTTAACTGAATGGCTACAGATCGCCACCTTTCTTCCCTACAGTGCGTCATATAAATAAAGACTCACTATCCGCTTGCCTGCTAGCACACCAGCTATTGCAGTGTGTTAAGCCTTCTTGGTTAGAAGTTGCTCGAATGATTTTGCCCAAACTCCCTGCTCTAAAGTCGTATCACCGGGTACGTTTCGCTCTAAAATCGCATTACCGGGTAATTTTCGAAGAAGGATTCACCATATCTATCGAATCAATGCGAGTCAGAGAGTGAGTCTCTCCTTTAATGAGCCCTTTTAAAAGATAGAGAAATTTTTACATATTTTTTGGCGTGATTAGCTGAAGCGTTACTATGATGTGAAATGTTAGCTCTACCGCATCAGCCATCGGAATCAAAGAGTTGAGGGTAATCTTATTTCGTTCAAAGCTGGGCTCTTGTGTCATATATGTGTGTCAGTTAGCTGTGGCTCTGTCGTGATTTGGCTTTTGAGAACGTTCCCTAGAGCTCACGCCTCACTGCTACCCTTCAGCAAAATCGAGGGCTTACGTTCTGGAATGCGTCGTCGGTCACTGTTCGCAAACTAATCAAAAATTGAACCAATCCTAGATTTCTTTTAAACAGTCCTCTCTTAGCTCCCTGGCCGTTATCTGATTATTTATTGGATGAATCAATAGAGGAATATAATGTCTATCGTTCGACGAAGGTCATGATTTTTGCCGTTTGTCTTTGCCGCATCTCTAGTAGCACCATTCACACGCAATTAGAACCGGGTGAGTTAGGATAGACTTTCCACAGGCTTCCTATTGGACTGAGAGATTCCCATTTATGGTCTGCTCACGCGTAGCCAAAAGAGCAAAGCAGGTGATCCCAGTGGCTATCCCGACATACCGTAGAACATCAATGAAGAGGTGATTAGTAGCGTTCCTAGCGAACGCTTGCACTTTTGCGGCTCGCAGTGAGGCAGCCATGTCATTCATTGTCATACATTCAATAGCAAACTGTAAGCAAGAGGACATTTTACAAGTATCTCAATTCCAGAAGGTGTAGAAATTATATCACAATGCACGCTGCAAGGAAAAAAACCGCTATATACCTGTTCTGAGTAGAACAACATGCAAAATATACCGTGAGAGATGCAATCCTGTCAATCTTTTAGTTGGATAGCAAATACAATTTTTATAAAGCGACACCGAAGGAAAACTACAACTTTGGGTTAACCTACGACTACGGTAGCATAATGCAGTATCAGTCAAGAAGGTACGTTCGCGCTTACCATATTCCTCCCAACCTCCCAGCTTATACAGTGACGCTCAACAGTATTCGGCCAAATGCTTCATCTGCCGTAACTTTCTTCTGCTGGATCAAACTGGTTAAACTTTGATATCTTTTGAACACAACACAAGCCACAAAACCATTATATGTATTTCTTATCAATGGGAGGAAGACTGAAAGGCGAAAAAATCATTTGACCGGGAAATCCCGAGTGGGAGCAAATTTCACGTAAGTTTCAAGTTACTGTGAAAGCATGTGATCCAAATGAACAACGGGTCGCATGAAAATAACATTAAGCAGGTACATTTGTCGACGACTTTAGAGAGTCCAAAACGTTACCAGGGGTTGAGTGGTGGATCAATGAGCAAATTACAATTCAACTTCCAATTTTTCTTCGAATTTTACGAGTTTTTTGTCTATAGTTCTAGCTCTTTTCATATGCCAAGGTTTCCTCACCCTTTCCCATAGTCTGCCGATAACGCTCAGCGATCGCTTAACGCTAGAAGGCGAAGCATTAACGCCAGAAGACGAAGTCAGTACGGTGGAATTTCCATACGTGTGGATACACAACACCTTCTGGGATCTACATTGCCACACGCCTGCTTCACTACTTCCCGATTACTGCCAGTAGTCTGACTGCAAATTGATAGGGGATAGAGTGGATCTGCGCACACCGGAACTGGTTATTCCGGCAAGACTCCAACGTTATCTGGAGCGACGAGAGAAATTGTGTGATGTTTGGAGGCAACGGCACCAGTTATGCGTTGCGTACTGAAGGAGAACATCTCGACCGAAAGTGTTTGCCATTGGTGAAACAATGCGGGTGCTCGGTCATGGTGATCCGCAAAAGATATGGAACTACAAACTGGACTTGAGAAATGGCGAAAGGGAGTTAAGTATCGTACGTACGGCAACCGAGCGGTTCTGAGTTCTATGTACAGGGAAAAACCGGAAGCATTGCACCTTTTCTGTGCAAGAGTGGTTTCGACAGCATAGCGTGCTATAGAATGGTTTTCGACAGGTATAGGCGTGCTATGACAAAGGGAAAATTTGAAATCGCATCGTCTTTAGGTGGTCATCTGATCAGAAGAAGAACAGAGAAAAAAGGAAAAAAGTAAGCTTTTGTCATGAAGTCTTTTGTCATAGTAAAAACGCTAGTTCGAGGAGAAATTGAGGGAGTTGTTCCAATAGATAGTGTAGCCATTGTCGGATTTCGTATCTAAGCCTTTTTAAGGTTTAGCGACTTTAGAAGGTAATTAATTCCCTTCATTGCATAAACCACAACCTTGGTGTGTCGGTTTGTTTGTATGTATGTGTATTTATCATGCGCTCGACTGTTCTATTGAATTGTGAGCTTTTTACAATAATTTGAAATTGAATTGGAATTTGGGCACACTCGGGAATTTTCAGTGAAACAAATCTTTTTCAATTTTCATTCTTCTTCCTACTCAACACTTTTTCCTACTGGATATGCTGATTTTGTGAGAAAGGCTTGTCCTCAATAAAGTCAAAAGTTGAACTAACTTGATCCAGCAGAAAAACGGTTACGGCCGAAAAGGATTTGGTCGAATACTTTTTGAGTGCCGCTATTAAATATTCATATGCGGCGTTAGACTCATTATGACAAGGTGTCGTGAAGAACACTTGTGGAACAAGTATCAGATATAGCAGTGAAGAAGGTCACACGTACATTGAGCTCCGTCCATTAATATCTAATACCCTTCAGTGGATCAGTCAATGGAAAGCCAACAATGGTGCCATACGATGCGAACTATACGGCAACTCTTGGATCTCCCTTCCTTTCATTCATTGACATTGAAATGATGAACGACCTTTACAATTGCAAAGGTTTGGCATGCTGCCTTTTACAAATTGCTTTTTTGTTTTTGTCTTAGCGCGGCCAGTAGACAACGAGAGTGTCCCGAATTCACATTATCTACAAAACCTATGATTATCTACAAAACCGAGTGCAGAACTCGACATGCCACATAGCTTTGCCAAGTCGAGAATCGCAATTGAAAAATACGGTTTTTTTTTGTAAAAAAACCGCACGTCAAAAGTTTGGAAATCCCCATTCAAAGCGAATTCAGCACAATAGCCCTCGTGTTCTGCTAAAAAGCCATGCGAAAAATGTTTTTATTGATATGGAATTGATTGGAGCATCATTTCAGATTTTCAAGTCGAAGCCTACACTGTGCAAACTAAATTTAATTGTTTGATGGGTCTCTTACTGGAATGTGGGTTGTACGACATGCCAGCTCCTTCCCTGGGGTGTAAAACTCAGTTAGAACTTAGGTCTCAGACTTTACCGCTTCATAACAGTTTTTTTGGGTTTAGGAAGGCAGCGATAAGGAGGTAAGCCTTCGCCGGATCATTTTCGTGATAGAAACCGCTCTTTCGGCTTGCTCTGACTATCGTAGTCCTCAGACTATCCTTGTATTTAACGCAGTTCACCTTTCGCTGAAATGAGAAATGGGGAATCGCCGAATGGTCGGACACACCATCACCCATGACAACACTTCCGCTATTTTGTCTGGTTGGATTTGATACCTAAAATGAGGTTCATTCCGACAGAACACTTCGTTGAGCTCACTTCGTCATTGTCAAAAAGTCAGAAATCACTTGTCACCGAGCACAATTTTTTAGCTTCCGTTTCCTGTCCGGTTAACCACTAATGTGCGGAAGCCAAATGGGCGATTCGGCTTTTAAAGTCCAACAATAGCTTTTTGTTGGGGCATCTTCCGTAATTTTCGCTAGATCCCGGCCGATGCTGTGCTGCACTTGTACTTTCATTTTATTGAGAGAAAGCACGAAAATGTCAATTCTTGGTTGGGGACTTCGAGGGAACGATACGTTTCAATTACGGTTCGAAGTCCTTAATGAGGGTAAATCTTCTTGTGATATTGTCTTTTGTGAAGGGTCATCCCAGTTATGCTCTCGACTTCGGTAAATATAGAAACTCTATAATGTTGCTTCCGTAGAGGTCGATAACTGAAAAACAGTTTCAATTTCGTACTCTAGACTGAAGTGCTCATAAAAACCTCCCCTATAAAGGTGATGTTTCCTTATTGCATGAATTCACATTTGGAGTCACATAATAATGAATGAATGAATAAATAATACCTAATGACTAAACTAAAATTGTTAGAAACATGCTAACTTTGAAGAGCAGAAAACCCAATAATGAGGGAAACTAAAAGTTTCCAAACTTTTGACACGCGATTTATTCAAAAATATCGTATTTTTCGATTACGATTTTCGATTTCGGAGAATTGTAATGCCCACCATATTCTTCACCTGATTTTGTATGAAAAAGATGAATGTGAGGTAATTTAATCGCTTATTGACAGCGCTAGATCAGAAATAAAAAAGTTTTCAAACTTTGATCGCCACTGTACATGACATCGCTAATTTCCCATTTATTCTCGTTCAGACTCTCTTGTACATCTTCTACTTTCTTTCATTCCGCAGTAAGAAAAGATGGTCGTCTGAAGGTATATTTAAGAACGATGCAAAACAAAAACCTCGGCCAAATGCGAGAATGGCGGATTTTCTCATCCCCGAAAC